CTCACGACGTATTATACTATGTATAATACATGGAGGAAACCCGGTATAATACATCGAGTATAATACCTACCCAACCCTGGGCACGATAAAACGGTGTTGCCCCCAGTCGGTCACTAAAAATCCCTAAAATATTCCTTCCTTCTGGAAGGGAGACTCGAGGTCCATCTATGAAACAAGGCGGCCTTGAAGATTCAAGGCATCCTTCATAGAGGTTTCCTCCGTCCTTAAAATAAGAAATGACTATGAATACGGGTATTAACCTTCCTTTATATAACCTTACTTTGCCTTAAGACCGTATTACACTACGAGTTGCGTGCTCGGTTGCGACTGGAGATACGATTGACAGTTGCGGATTGATCAATCAGAGTAAGGCAGCTTGCTAGCCGATTGGTCAATCCGCAACTGTCAAATGTATCCCCAACCGCAACCGAGCCCGCAACCCGTAGTGTAATACGATCTTTACAGCCGCGTCTGCTAAGATAAATAGCAGATTTTCCTCCCTTGCGCATGCGCATTCGTACGTTTCTCTCGGCAAACGCACATCGTTTGTAAGGACTTGGAATTTGCATTAAAATTTTATTTTATTTTCTCGTCAGCAATAGTTTATTTTCTCGGCCGTTGGGTGGAATGCGCGATTGCACGTGGCAAGGAAGGAAAGTATCTTATTATCTTGGCAGACAGTAGATAGAGCTCTATCTATATATAATATATCTGTGAGCCTATCGCACAATGCAAAGGTACAGGCAATAGGAACAGAGAATAACACAGGCAACAGAAATAACTACGTTTCAACTTACCAGAAACTGAGTATCAACGCACAATAGAATATGGAATAGGCAATAGGAACAGAATTTCCGACGCGTTGGATTTCTGTTCTCTATTGCCTGTTCCTGACCAATCACAATGATCCAGTTTATTTGCTAGAACGGGCGCGTATTTTCATAAGTTTCCATTCCGTATTTCTATTCCCTGTTCCTATTGCCTGTACTTTTGCATTATGCAATAGGCTTAAGCCCTATGCACAATGAAAACCACAGGAAACAGGAACAAGGAATAAGAAATTATCTCCATCAATTCACAATGGTACTATAGCGACAAGAGCTGTCCAATCTGAACTCATTGTCAGATAAATTCCGTACATAACTTACAAATACAAACTGTCATTACAAAAATATATCGTTGAAAGCATTTTGGAAGCACAAAAGAGTAAGTATTTATTTATTAGGTATATTATTCGTTGAGTTATGTTCATCGTAATGTTCATTAATATCGGTTTTTATAGTGTAACGATACAACCCTCCACCGTCACTCCACCAGTACCCGGCCGCCGATCCGCCGAAAGTCCGCCGCCCGACGAACACCGGTCGGGAAAAATGCGGAGGCGCCGAGCGCCCATTTTCAAACGATAAACAAAGCGCGTAAATATCTAACCGCCGTTAGACGCGCGTCACCATAGAGAGCTGGTGACGCGCTCGGGTACCGACCGACCGATACCGAAAACACCCGAGTCGCGCGCGCCGTTTCTATGACGCAAATACCATTAGAACAATAGGCGAATTACGCAGACGCGCGCGCCGAAACCGAATCCTAAACACGCTCCTCCGAGAAAGAACAACGGGGTTGGGAGTATTCAGCCTCCGCCGAGAGTTTGCGGTATCTCGAAAAGCGATCCTTGCACCACCACAAAATCGAGGTACACGGGATCGGACGTGCTCGACCCAGCCGGGAGTTCTCGGCCCCTCACGACTTTTCCGACCGCCTGTGTGTATCGGCATTATTCTCGTGGCAGGGAGTTCTCTGCCACCGACGGGATTCCTCGTCGGCCGATACATTCCCGATTCCGCCACCCGCGATCCAGATACGCGAATAGAAGCTGACAATTACACGCACCGACAGACCTATTATCCACCGCCATCAACGCGTCCGACGCGCCATTATTACGGGAGCGATAAGTCCCGCGCCGAGGGCCGACCCACGCCCTACCGCGACACCGATCGACGCACGGGATCAATATACGCGTCGAAGGAAATCACCACCCGATAACTAACGGCTCTTGCCGAATTCACGCTACGCGATCTCGAATCGATATTCAGCCATATAACCGAAATCACGAACTGCGCTACGACTAATCACGTTGCATTGGATGCACCACCGTCCGCGCACGAGATAAGCACACTCGTCTGCATTCACGCACGCACATACTGTATTATACAATCACACGCTCACATCTCTACATTGTACATTCTCGCGCTCACATACTTATATCATACATTTTCGCGCTCACATACTTATAACATACATTCTCGCGCACACACATACACATCTTATACAGACACACTCTCGCTGTACAACACATATCTAAGAGGACAATAAATTATATTTTTTTACACAACTATGCATTCTCCTTCGTGTCTCGATACCTCTTTCACAAGCCCAGGATCTCGACAGAGCTTTCCGTCTCCGCCTCGCGAAAGCGGAACGTTACAATAGGTTTTCTCAATGGATGATCATTTTGAAGGTGATTTGTTATATCTTGCTGCAATGCAAGTATTCGGGCTACGATTGTACAATATGTGGAGAAAGAAAAAAGCTAAGTGCTGGATTAATAGGAAATGGTGAGTACGAACCATAAATGTAAAATGTGGCGAGTATGGGGACTTTGTAATCCTTTTTACGGAATTGAAGGAAGATGCTGTTCAAAATCGAACTCCAATAATTACTAAGAGCAACTATAAGACCACTCCAATAAAGCGCCGATTAATCGCGCTCGAAATTCGGCGCGTCAGCCGCCATCTCGCGCGTCGCACGGCGCGCGACAAATAGGAGCGCGTTCCAAAAGCGGCGCTACGCGAATCGCGCCCGGCCCGCGGCATCGCTCGTGCCTATCGATGCGGGCCACGCAGCGGTCACCCGAGAGAGCTGAAATTAATAACAAATTGCAATAACAACTTCAATTTAAACTAATCATCGCAAACAACAACCGGCGCGATCTTTTGTGACAAACACACTACGAAATTCTATCCGTCGCTCGCGGGTTATTCTGTCGCTCGTGGAATCGCTCCGTTTATACCGTTGCTTGCGGTATTCAATATATCCGTCGCTCGCGGAGATTATCGTTGCGCTCCCGGTCGCTCGCCGGAGCCAGACACGGTGAAGATTAGCATAAATCTGATCGACCAAAGAACTTGTTAATTATTTATTGTTCTTAATAAATTGACTGCTTTTTCAAAACACTATCGTGTCTATTTCACGCGATCCTCGCGCTCCCGCGTTCACTCGCGCACATTTTCTGATCTCTTCTTTCGATATACAAGAAGGGACGTGGACATATTCAACGAGCTTCTACAAATGGTTTGACCTTATTTACAAAAAAGAAGCATGAAAAAAACGATTTGCCCAGAGCAACGGCTTGCGATAACACTAAGATAAAACATAGTTGTGTTAGGTTCTATTCTAACATTTTAGAGATACACTGTAATGACTAAAAGTATAATAATAAAATTATTAATTTAGTTTTTTCAATTTCAACAATTTTATTATAGATATCTGGCGATTGGTGACCAAATATTGTCGGTGGCTCTTGCTTACAGAGTAGGAGAGTCCACTGCTCATAACATCATAAAGAAAACATGTACAGTGCTATTTCAGGTTTTATTGCCAATATACATGAAAGCTCCTATAGAAGATGAATGGAGACATATTAGCAAGGATTTTTTTAGCAAAATGGAATTTGCCCAAATGTATTGGTGCAATAGATGGCAAACACATAACTATACAAGCATCAACAATTTCTGGATCAATATATTTTAATTACAAAAGAGGAACATTCAGCATCGTTCTGATGGCTGCTTGCGATAGCAAATACAAATTTACTTTGTTCGACGTCGGTGCATTTGGTTGTGAAAGTGATGGAGGAATTCTTTCCAGATCAGCGTTCGGTAAGGCTCTATATGAAAGAAAATTAAATTTTCCGAAAGGAAAATACGCCTACCTGGCTCTGAAAAGGAAACACCTTTATATTTTGTTGGCGACGAAGCTTTCCAAATGACAACAAACATGATGCGACTTTACCCAGGTATCTGAACGAACAGAAAAGGATCTTCAATTATCGCTTATCGCGTGCTAGAAGAACAATCGAAAATAATTTTGGAATCCTTGTGTCTAGATGAAGGATATTCCGCAAGCCGATATGTGCAAGCCCAGATGTTGTTGATAAATTCGTTCTAGCAGCAATGTGTTTGCACAATTTTTTAAAAATCAAAAATGATGAAAAAATACCACATTATCAAAGATATTGCCCAAGTCAATACATGGATCGAGAAACTACTGAAGGGAACGTAATTGCAAGCGAATGGAGGGACGAATTAGAGGCCAACAATGTAAGAAATTTCACAAATGGTGCACATCGAGCTGCAAAAGAAGCATATGAAATGCGAGATACTCTCTCGTCGTACTTTTTAACTTCGGCTGGTGAAATTCCGTGGCAATACGAATACATACGACGTGGACAATACCACGATGCACAATAAAAATCCTGTTTTTAATATGCTTTTATAACAAATTTTAATTTTACTGTATATTTAAAATAAAGTAAAATGTATTTTTTTTAACAATCTGAAAGAATAAAAAATGGCAATATGAGCCCAGCGCAGTTATTCGAGCGCAACAAAGTTTATTTTAACCATGATAATGTAAAGTATACGTATAGCGGACGTTTCGGCTCTTTTTTGAAGCCATTCTCAGCGCAATGGTCTAAATCGCAAGTTCCTAATCGGTTCGCATTATATAAAAGTCAAAAACTTAAAATTAAAAAGGTCAATGAATAAAAAGTGTAAAACAGGTGTGTCTGTAAGGCATTACTGTTGGTGAAGAACTAAATCCTCTCGAATGTACCAGCAATTGTACGCCACATTTCCAGATGTGCATACAAGAGTGTTCGCAAACATAGCAAGAGGCGATCGGCGGAGAACTCTAATTAGAAACTGACACCACGACTCTTAACGATACAATCAAATATTTTTTTTATATTGAAAACAAAATTTTATTTTACTAAGTAATAAAAGTTTTAAGTAATAAAAGTTATTTTTATAATTATATCTTCTATTATTCATTATGCGAGTACAAAAGTTCCATAAACTTTCTTTTCAAGTTAGTCTTCATTGGTTCCATTGTCTTTTCGAGCTCCGCTGTTACAAGTTTACCAATAATTACATCTGGATAATGAATGTCATTTCGATTCTGTAGAACTGTAGATGCTACCGTATTGAACGTATTATTCATTTGAAGAAAGGCTGTTCCATAGGGTCGACTTTGCGCTTTTTTGTGAGCCTATTCATTCCGGTGAAACAAGATGAAGGCATATTCAACGTTTTTGCCAAAATCGATGACTCGTTTGTCTCAGAAACTGATGTTTTGGGCGGTAAAAGAGCAGATGATGGCTGTATCGGCGAAGGTGTGGATCTTATCGGCGAAGTTGTGGATCTTATCGGCGAAAGTATGGATCTTATCAGCGAAGGTGTGGATCTCAATATTGGCGAAGGTGTAGATCTCAGCATTGGCGGAATCGGCTTCGACGAAGGTGCCGATTGCAGTGGTAGCTGCATAGACGCAGATGGCTAAAAATTAAATTTATAAATAAATACAAATGTCACTGCTATATTATACATTTTAAACAGTTACTATTACTTATAAAAAAATTATTTACGAATAAAGATTGACTCGCATCAAGTATGTTATTGGAACATTGTACAGATAGCAAATTCCTCTGATTTTCCATAGAAAACACAGGTGAATTTGTCGAATTTTTAAACACTTCCTTTTCTGACACTGATGTCCTATGCTGATGATGTATTGAAGGAGTGAATTGTTGCATCTGCGACAACGAAGATGACTGAAAGAAAGTTAAAAAGTATATGAACTGTTCATTTTATATAGATATCTTATTGTTCATTTTGGTATTACAAATTCATTACTTCTCGCACATCATCAACATTATCGCCATAAATATTATCCTGAGTTTCATTTTGTGCAGGCTTTTGGGTAAAAGATTGGCTGTTCACAGACAAATTATTTTTTTGAGTGACGATGTTAGAATAATTTCTGAAATCATGAAAGTACATACATATATTACATTATAGATATGTATATAAATGAAGCTTATAAAATATATTTAAGTAAAAGTCTATAATCATTCTCATAGGATGTAAAACAAACCTTTTCTGAGTGACAATATTCTCTAAAAAGCTTAAATTTTCAAACAAAACCCATTTTTGCCGTATTGGTTTTCCTGCTCCACTTCTCGTTTCATTCTCTCGCAGCTGCCTCTCTTTACTAAAGCGTTGGCGAAGACGTACCCAACGTGTTTGACAGTCCGATATTACATAATATATATAAAACATTATCAGTGTCATTCATAAATTGTAATGTCGGCTACATAGATATTTAAGAAAAAGGACATAGTTTTTCAGTAGGAAAGATATAAATAAATATCTGATAAATATCTGATGAATTTGTTTCAATTTGCTTTTGATACAAATACAAATATGCTGACAGGAAAGATTATTTTGTAACGTGGTCACCTTTCTCGACGCTCGGATCGGCTCGTCGGTGTCCGAGGGAAGGGGAGACTTAAACTTACGAGAACACGTGTTAGATATAAATACTGGTTTATTCAGATAGAGTATACAAGCGGAGTGGCGTGCAGGGCCAAGCGATTGCGGTCAGCGTGCGGTAGGCGGCGAGCTGGCTCCAAGGTGCGGAGCGGCTAAGATGCAAAGCGGTCGGTGCGTGCAGGCGGCGCTGGGTGACTCGGACGGCACTAGAGTCCTATATAATCAGAGAAGCGACATCGTTACCCCCTCCATGCTTCCCATGATCGCCATGTTGGTCCCGCAGCTGCCCATTTGTAATCTAAAATGTCTTAAAAATGTCTCAGAAATATTTAAAATGTTTTTTTTTTAGAAAATAACATTACTTGGCGTCGGGACGCTACCGCGTCGCTTGACAAATATACTTTTTTCTCACTTACGGTACGCCGGTTGCGGTTAGTTTGCACGTAGAATTCACTACGGGACCAACATAGGGCGCGTTCCACTTAACGACCGCAACGCTCGCGAGCATCATCTGTCTTTGTTTAAATTTCGGTGAACAACAAAGATGAAATGATATCGTGAGCGTTGCGGTCATTAAGTGGAACGGGCCCATGGCAATCAGCCAAATCAGCAAGCGGAACGCCATTGTCGCTTCTCTGATTATATAGGACTCTAGACGGCACGGCTTAGCGAAGGCTTATGCCCAGTCTACAATGAGTCGTTAGTCGTTAGTCACAAGCAAATTGACCAACCACAGTCGATTATTCCAAAAATATTCTAGAAATAATCGACTGTGGTTGGTCAATTTGCTTACGACTAACGACTAACGACTCATTATAGACCGGGCTTTACTTGCTATGGCGCGTATTCTACAAGCGGGCTTACAACTAGCTTACTTACTACGGCGCATTTACAATTAGCAGGCGTAGTACTACGGCACATTTACAATTAGCAGGCGTAGTACTACGGCGCGGTTACGACCCGCGGGCTTACTACTAGCTTACGGACTAGGAGTTTTACGACAACGGCTTACTGGCTACGGCGCGTATACTATGCTAGCGACTTATTCCTACGGCGCGGTATTTACAGACGGCTTACAAACTAGTGTCAGGCTGGGTGGCTAGGTATTGCGGACAGGGCCGAGTGTCACGTCGGATGCTCACTTGGCAACGGAAAACCGGCGAAACCCGGCGAAGCTGAGCGAAACCTCAGCCCGGACTGGTGTTAGGAGCCGGCGAAACCCGGCAGAGCTGAGCGAAACCTCAGCCCTTGAGGTAGTAGAGAGCCGGTGAATCCCGGCGGAGCTAAGCGAAATCTTAGTTCCGAGAGGTAGCGGATACTGGTTAGCAGGTCGGTGTTATGAGTCGGATCGCAGGACGGGATCTGGTCTTCATCAGTGATGCCAGAAACTGACCCCGGTAATATGTGGAGAGGATAACACAACAGTAGAAAACAACATTCATGTGAGACATGTTCGCGGTTTTCGATTGTGTGTGTATCCCTTCCACATGCTATCTCATGCTACCGGAGTCAGTTTCTGGCATCACTAGTCTCGATCAGTGATGCCAGAATTGAGACGCGAGCAACATGCAACCGAGGTGGAGGGGATAACACACACAAGCGCAAACAGCGTACGTGTGAGCTCGGCGCTTCGGCTAGCTTCGGATAACAGAAGAGGACAGATGTACTGTTTTCTGCCTCTATTCATTGTCTTGGGACAAGCAGAATATAACTTTTCCGATGACATGAGAGATAAATGCTTTTCATTAATCTCCATGTCTAGAACAGTTTGTTTTCTCGTTTTTAGTGCTGATTTTAATACACAAATAGCATTTATACACGCGGGCGAAAGTTTATTTCGTTTTTTTGTTTTTATATCAGATAGAAAAAAGAGTGGCATGCTTTACATCTCGATTTTACAATAGCAGAAAAAAGATACTTTACGTATCCAAGATTTTATTCTATCATCACTAAGCCAAGCTTCTGAAAAGCTTCGCTTAGATTTTTTTCTTAATTCATCACATATTTTTATATACAGCAAAAGATAGGCAGAAATAAAGAATTAAAGAAGAATGAGTAAAATAAAAGATAAACAATAAACAATAGGGACTCACAATCAGAATTGATTCAGCTTCTTAGATATCAAAATTTCACAAATATATTAATTTATTTATTATTTATGAATGTATATGTTTATTTTTCAGAAAAAGAAAAAAAAAGAGGAGGCGGCCGGTCGCGTGCCCGTTGGTACAACCAGCGTGGTCGAGGAGGCAGAGGCAGAGGATCTGGCGTATATGGCGGCCGGGCCGATAGAAGCGGCCCGAGAGGCCGAGGAAGGAAGCAAGGTCGAGGAGTTATGCGGGGCCGAAGTCGCCCCACTATCATAAAAAATTATTACATTAAATATTAAAAAAATAAAGATTATTAAATAATAATTCAGTAATTAATTATTTACACTATAAATTTTTCTTATTTATCCCTATTGGTTGGAAAAAACATTTACTATATGGCATGAAAAGGCTGTAAAAAAACATTTAACGTTCATGTATATCAAGAATCAAGAAGCGAGCAACATCGCCCGTTGCCGTCGCCCGTACGCCCGTCGCTATAGTTGTCGGCTCGATAGGAAGAAGAGAGACAGAAAACAGTATATCTGTCCTCTTCTACTATCCGAAGCTAGCCGATGCGCCGAGCTCACACGTACGCTGTTTGCGCTTGTGTGTGTTATCTCCTCCACCTCGGTTGCATGTTGCTCGCGTCTCAATTCTGGCATCACTGGTCTCAATGCCTCGGCCGGCGGCCTTATATACTCGGCCGGCGGCCTTATATACTCGGCCGGCGTCCCCCACTGTGCGCCGTCGGTTCGGCGGTGGAGTTGGTACCGCGTGCGGGCACCGCGAGAGAGATAGCGCTTGCGGAGAGTGAAACAGCGGGATGGGTAGAGCGGGATAAAATAAGCGGTCATGCCTGGTACGTATATATATATAGATATTTACATATATTTACAATTGCCGATGGCTAGTGACGGTCCTACCGTCACAATTTGATTCAAGTAAATATATTATTAGAAGTATTCAAATAACTTATTTACATTAAACAAGTAATATTTATTGTCAGTGCAATATCTATTTATTGGAAAAATGATTTAAAAAAACATTCAGTTAAATATAATTTACCTGAATTTTCCAAAATAGAAAATATTTCTGCACATGCATTTTCTTTCATATTATTATCTCGATATTCTTTTAATTTCTTATCATAAAGAAATGGGCGAGATCGTACCAGATCTATCAAAAGCTCGTCCCCATGTTTTTGACTCTGTGTCAAGTATTCCGTATCCATGTCGTCAATATTTTCGAAAGTGGTATCCTCCACCGTATAGTCAATTCTTCTTATTTTATAATAATCATGAAATGTCATATTTGCAATATTTTCCATCCTTGAAACTGTTTGAAACGCACTACATCCGTCAAAGAATATAACCTCAAAAGAGCTCGTTCGAAAAAGCGCTCTATAAAATCAAATCGTTATGATTGGTCAGGCACAGGCAATAGAGGACAGAAATCCAACGCGTCGAAAATTCTGTTCCTATTGCCCGTTCCATGTTCCTATATTTTTCACTGTGCATTGATACACGGTTTCCCATAGGTTGAAATCTATTGCCTGTGTTATTCTCTGTTCCTATTGCCTGTAGCTTTCATTGTGCATAGGGCTTTAATGCCCGTATCAGACTACGCATTGAAAATTGAAGATTGAAGATTAAAGATTGGAATTTGACTAATCAGAACAAAAGAGACTAACTTTCTTTGTCCTGATTGGTCAAATTTCAATCTTGAATCTTGAATCTCAATCTTCAATGCGTAGTCTGATACGGGCTTAAGGGGATCCAAAACCGACGAGCGAACTCCGACGGGTAAGCGCCCTCATCAATACGTAACTAAAAATGTCGATAATACCGACATTTTTAGTTCCACCATTACCGACATAATTATTTCAAACATGCATAATAGAAAACGCAATCTTTTGCATTGTGTTCCATATATTGAAATGAGACAATATCACAATATATTTTTACTGCTTTCCCCCCTCAACATTATTATTCATATAATATATTATGAAGTGTACATAATGTATACAAAGTTCAAAGAATAAACACACACGCACAGTCAGAGAGGGTTTGAAGTCATTAAATACTGAGGGAGTGACGAACCACGGGATCCTGACCTCTGCTGTGATATTTTTTGAATTTTGTTTATTATTATTGTACAAATATTTAATATTCCATTTGTTCGCTATCTTTGTCTCTAAAGTTCTTTGATGAAAATTGCACTCAAAAAATATGATGTCCAAATAAAACTAAAGTTGCTTTTTACTCTTATACAGTGAAATTTGTACATTATTAAAATCTTATTCATTATAGGAATGAACTTGTTTATTGGAAGTGATACAATAAATTGATTTGAAAAAAAAGGAAAAAATCTATTTGTCAATTGACTGAGAAACTGATTTTAATTGACTTATAATATATAGATTGAGAATCTCCTCTACAAATGTGAATAATTTGTTCTTGTAAAAAATGAAATGTTGCTTTTTCTTGAGATGACAGTATTATTATTATTGGTTAAAGTGCATTTTCACTAGTTTTGAGTGAATTTCATTTAAAGAAATTTAAAGAGTTTATGTTTTACTTAATGTAATATTTTAAATATTCAAAAGTATAAAAAATATTCAAAATAAATAAGTAAATGTATAAATATAAATAATAAGTAAAAAAAATTATATTATTGAAACAAAATTGGGAACATATTTATCAATTTTGCCAAGATATGTTCTATTTAAAACTATGATTTTATGAACAAAATATATATAATGTGAGGGAATTATATTTATTGCAATTATAAATAAATATAAAACCATCTCATAAAAATTTTTTCACATTTAAAAAAAAATAATTTTATTAAATTTTTAAGTTGACTTTATATTTTTATAAAAACAACAAATATCGCCGGCATTATATAATGTATAT